TTCTCAGGCGACAGTTCTATAATAATATGAGGTAACAAATGATTTTAGTTAAATGTACAATTTAGATCCATAATATTAGGTAAGGTTTTGAGTTAGCACTAGTAGTGGCAAATTAGTTTGAAAAGCATTCATATTTATTTTAATTTGAAAGTCCATATAACTGCTGCTGGAGTAGTTTTTCTAAAAATGCTTAGGGGCCTTTTAATATTTTGTAAAATGTTGTTTCCTATATGAAAATTAGTTAGTGAATATTTGCAGCCAAACCTACATTTTAGTTTCGTAGTTTGGAGAAATATTAATTTTGACTTTAACTTCAAATTTTGAATTTGAACTCAATTTAACAGTGGTGACATGGCATCATTAGTAGAGGATTACTGTAGCTTAATTATCCGGGTGTCGCAATGAGTTATTCTAACCAGCAACTGTACTACCTTTATACATCTAGGCATCTAGCTGCTCTTAGACGAAGTTTCAGGCTTGCTGTGCTTTTCAAAAGCAAAAGTTAGGCATTATTAGTAAGAAGAAGAAAGTTGTGCTTCTAGAATCTGAAGACGATTGAATCATGTGGTAAAGTAGGGTAAGCATAAGGGAGTAATTCAGTGGGGTCCAAGTTACCAAGTTTTTGTTTGTTGGCAAACAAAGTTACCATGTATAACGGGGTAATTGAACAGTGCCTACAATTTTTGAATGCCAAAATATTATAAAGAGAACACACGTAAGAGGATTTCAATAGTCTGTTTTGTTCTTGTAAATTTTCATGGGAAACTGTTTTTCATTTTTGCCCATAAAGCTTCAGTGCTCTTTAGAGCAGAAAACCTTTTCTGAAGGTGCTAAAATGCTCCATTTTGTTTGAAAACTTGCATGGTGTAAAAACCTTGAAAACCCAGAAGTATTTTTTTAATTTGGAAGTATTTTTTTTACTCCGATGCTAGTAACACACGGGGAGCAGGAAAACTTGCTGATACCTAACATAATAACAAAGGTAAAAGAAAGAGTACGTGTGTCACATTTCTTAACATGAGAAACACCAATGAGAAGGTGCTGCATAGAGTATTAGCCTATCCACGCGACTGCTGAATCGTCAAACTAATCATGTGACCCTGGGTCACCATCTTGGATTTCTGCAATCTGAATGTTGGCAGCCATGCTACATCAGGCACACAGTGTAAACACTGATGCCATAATATCTATCCTGGAGTTGCTGAGACAGTGTGGGGAAGCGGAGACGCCCACGTCCAATCAATCGCCTCGAAGCCAAGCCCGAGCGCGTCTTGACCCCGGGGCTACTGTCGGCGTTCTGGGAACGGGGGTCCCTAGACTTGTCTGCCTGCGGCCCGCGGCGTGGCTCCACCAGCGGCCCTGTACGGCCCATCTTCATCAGCAAGCACTCAAGATCCTCGCAAAGTTTTCCATATCGGTGTAATAAGACCAAGACCAGCAGGACGGAGGTCACCGTGGAGCCCAAGACGGCGTCACCACGAGAGCCTTTGGCAGGCGAAGACTACTTTTGCTAGGATAGCTTTCACTAGTTGTCTCCCTTTAAATTTGGCCGTTTTGGGATCCCTTCCCGCTCAATATTTGGGAAGAGGACCATGGCCTTTAAAAATAGGACTTTGTGGAGTCCGGTGTGTTCTGGTGGAGCAGATCGGTGTCCGGGGGAAACCTTGGCCGCCTTGGCTGGCCGGCAGCGGCGACATCACTTTTTGGCGCCGCTTTCCTCCTTGGGGGCGCTGCTGAGGGCACCATCTCTCCACTCCGACCCATGTCCGGGTGAAAGCCCAAGATCCGATGCGGATCAGGCGTCGGCGGCGCCCCGTGCACCGTAACCTTTCTGGAGGCGACACCAAGGATATTGGGATCGGATGGAAGTGTCTGCAGGTGAGGGGTTGGGGTGTGCTGCCTCCCTTTCGGTGGAGCGGTGTTTCGTTCTACATATTCTTGGCGGCGGCTCTTGGAGGCATGGAGCAGTGGAGACTTGGCGTCAGATGTGTGGTGACGGACACGCGCAGGAGGTCGACGCTATCTGGTGTCGTGGTGGCGTCGGCGGCAGCGAGACCGGGCAAGGCCGATGCAACAATACAGCTCTGAAGATGGATATGTGGCAGGTGGCTGTGGCGGCCTCATACCCAGCAGGCGTCCTGGTTGAGGAGCACGTCGGACTGGTGGGTGTCCATACCCGGCAGGCGTCCTGGTTGGGACCTCAAGTCTTAGATGTTAGGTTTGGCTGCGAGGTCTGTTTGGTATTAGGCCCAGACTATCAGCGCCCCTTCATCAGTTAGATAGGAGTAGCGACAGAGGTTGTGAAGATGGTGGCTTTGGTCTTACTGTTGTATGATTTTGTAAGGTCTTGTGTTAATAATTAATAAATTGGCCGTATGCATCGTCCAGATGCAGAGGCCGGGAATATTCCTCATTTTCTAAAAAAATAAATAGGACTAGCCACCATCATAGGAGGCATCTGATTCAGACCCGGATCACCCCGAATCACACAAGTTCATTAGGCACAAGAATACCTCTCCTCAGGAGGCGGTTCTTCTTTTGTAACTGTTCTTCCTCAGCCCAAGAGACAATCCACCACACCACACTGATGTAGGGCATTACACCACAATGGTGGCCCGAGCCAGTATAAATCTTATGTCTCGTGTTTTTTGGGTTCGTCAAGCTAGGCAATGAGATCATAAAATGTGCGAACTAGAGAGGGAAAGAGATCTTAATATGCACCCCAATATTCGAATCTCAAGGGTTTTACTGAAACCCGAAATCTGACAGTTGTGCAGACGCACGCGTTGGCCAGCAGCGCCTCCACACATGTTGGTGCTTTCGCATCGGAGCAGCGCGGGCTGTTCCGATGACCACCCGCCTCAAGAATGGACGGCGGCGAGGGGGAGCCGTCACGACACATCGCCGCGAGCTCGTGCGACTCCCTGCATCACCTCGAGTGCAGTCCGCCAGCGAAGGAGTGGGCGTGGCTGCTCGAAATCTTTCGCTCGCCGCACACCATTGTCCCCCCTACACGAACTTGCCGCTGAGCGCTCAGCTCCAACGGCGCACGAAGGAAGACGGCTACCCCGTGAAGAGAACCTCGGCCGGTCGCCTCTCTCTCCCACACACACGGCTCGCCGCTCTCGAGTGGAAATGGCAGAAGACGGAAACACGGGAAAGGAATAAGGTCGCGACTTCGTCAACTCTCGTTCGCGGGGGCTCACTCTGCAGCAAACGAGAAAGAAAATCTGGCATGGCTGGTTCATCTGCTTGAAGATTCACGAATCCAATCTAACGGCTGATACAACGTTCGTTGGGAACGTGAAAAATCCGACGTTTCCCAGATAAAATTTCGAAACGAATTGCATGGAATGGAAGCAAATCGCATGCATGAAAACACAAAGCATGGCGCCCAATCAATTTTATATGCCCTGATTTATAGGAGCAGTAGTTTTATTTTTTTACCAAGTAAGCACTCAAGAATTGAAGGATGAGTCATGTAAATCTTTTTTACCAACCCGCTGTGGTCTTTTTACTTTCAATTTAGTTGACGCTGGTGAACTACTTTTGTTCTTTTTAGTAAAATATGGATGTGTGCATCGGTTGTTGCAAAGACCGGCGTATACCCTCTTTTCAAAAAAAGAAAATCACTTCAATGGAGTAAGCTTGTACCTTGAAACGATATACAAATATCAAAGGCTACAAATTTCAGAATGCAATTTGAGATTCCTTTGTACCATATTTGATTTGTGTCTTCCTCAAGGACAAGATGTCTCCTTAAATGCTAACTAATTTTGCCTATCATGTTCACATCCCACATTTGATTTGGATTTGGGGTAGTACTTGCCAACAAAAACTTAAGTTTTTCTTTTGATACATGATCAACTAGGCACTAAATCAAACCTCCTTCACTGCAACTGTTTTGTCATTCAAATATACAATTGTGTCCAGTTCATGTAAATACACTGCCGTTGCTAGTTCTCATGCTTACTGTACATAGATGTTCTTAGTTCAGGAACGGGTACCTGTATATTACTTCAACAAATCTGGAATTCATCAAAAGGCCAGCAATTGCTGGATCTTTAAAAAAAAGTTCTGTAATTAGCCAGCTAAAGGCACTCTTGATTTTGGCACAGTTAATCCAACCGGCAACTGTGTACCTTTATACATCTAGGCATCTAGCTGCTCTTAGGCAGAAGTTTCAGGGTTGCTGTGCTTTTCAAAAGCAAGAGTTAGGCATTATTAGTAAGAAGAAGAAAGTTGTGCTTCTAGAATCTGAAGACGATTGAATTATGTGGTAAAGTAGGGTAAGCATATGGGAGTAGTTCAGTGGGGTCCAAGTTACCAAGTTCTTTTTTGTTGGCAAATAAAGTTACCAAGTATAACGCGGTAATTGAACGGTGCCTAAAATTTTTGAATGCCAAAATATTATAAAGAGAACACACGTAAGAGGATTTTGATAGTCTGTTTTGTGCTTGTAAATTTTCATGGGAAAATGTTTTGTTTGCCCCATAAAGCTTCAGTGCTCTTTAGAGCACAAAACCTTTTCTGAAGGTGCTAAAATGGTCCATTTTGCTTGAAAACTTGCATGGTGTAAAAAACTTGAAAACTCAGAATTTTTTTCATTTGAAAGTATTATTTTACTCCGATGCTAGTAACACCCGGCGAGCAGGAAAACTTGCTGATATACCTAACATAACAAAAGTAAAAAAGACAAAGTAGTTCTACGTGTCTCATCTCCTAATATGAGAACCACCAATGAGGAGGTGCTGCATAGAGTACCAGCCTATCCGCGCCACTGCTGAATCGTCAAACTAATCATGTGACTCTGCTGAGTCGTTATCCATCGAGGATTTCTGCTGCAATCTGAATGTCGGCAGCCATGCTGCATCAGGCAAACAGTGTAAACCCTGTTGGCATGATATCTATCCTGGAAGTGGAGTGACTGCATCTATCTTATCTTACAGCACTAACATCAAATCTGGAAAAAAATATATACTTACTCCAGAAGTACTCATCTATATGGACATGATTGAGTAATGCGACTCAAGAATCCTCTGCCTCTTGCTCTGGAACTGGAACGGACTGCCGCCACACACCAGCTCTGATGAAGCAACCTTGGCCAGAGCAAACCTCACAGCCTCCTTCAGGGAATTCAGTCCAGCACACCCTGCACTGCCTTCCTCCTCCTTGCAGAGTGTGAAGACGTGCTGCACCCTTCCTCCCAGGGAGGACACCTCCGCTCTTACTGTCCTAAGTCTCAGGCCATGGAGCGCCTGGATGAAACCGGCGACGAGGTCCGGGCGGTCATCGCAGCTGACAGACGCCTTAATGTACAGGCGGCTGTCGTCGTCATCGGTGTCCCCTGTGCAGCAGAATTCGACGGAGACCTCGTCGGTCTCCGGCGGGACGGCCGGCGTCTGCTGTGCGGCCTCGCTGGCTCTCCTCTTCAGCTGCCTCACTTGGTCCACCACCCTGGCCAGCAAGGCGGCCTTGTCCATCTGCACAAGGGAAGACAAGAGACATTTTCCTGACAAGTCGCATAATAGCAGTGTACCGCAGTGCCCTACTTTGTCTTATCATAGATGGAATTGCAGGGCTAAAAGTCTGATGAAATGTGAACACTTGCGCGAGTTTTCAATGTTCTTCTTCATAAAGCTCATGTATGATTCAGACATAAAGGTGAATCAGAATTGTTTGAAGAAAGACTTCTTAATGCAAAGTTAGTTTCTACCAGAAAAGCTGATGAGCTAACGACAATAATTATGTGCAGCTGAGCTTTGTTTGGTTGATGCTTCACAGCACTGGAATGGTGAAATGGCCAAGATATTGTTGCCAAATGCTTCACAGTCACAACGCTGAAGGTTTGGTGCAAACCTGCTTGGTATCAGGGATCATCCTCCTGAGCGCCGTGAGATGAGCGTTGATCCTCACCCGACGCCGGCGCTCGGCCTCGCTGTGGGCCTTCAGGGCCCTTGCCTCCGGCGCGGTCCTCCCCGACCCCGTCGTCGACGACGATGTCGTCGACAGCTCCGGCGGCCCAGCCGGTGGCGCCGAGCTGGCCTGCCGGGGCAGCAGAGCCGGGCCTCTGCTCACCGTATGATCACATGCATCGTGCGGAGATTGGCCTGGAGCTGCCATCCAGCTCTTGGACACTGCAAGAACAAGGAAGAATGTGAATTTCTGGTGATGTAGCAGGAGGAGGAGAACAAGTGGGAGCGGGGGTGAGACGAGTAGAGTGGATAGGAGGAGGCTCACAATAATTAGTATATTGTAGGATGGATGCTGGATACTAGGTAGGAGGCAGATGATGAGGAGCGTGTCTGTGAGAGATGACTTGACCGCCCTACATACATACGCATCTCTTTTCTCACATGTGGTTACCGTACCCCACTATGGGGATAATATAGGGGAAATCTCGGTGTCGGATTGGCATGGACTCGGCCAATGGGTGAGGTGGCGTGTATGAGTGTGCCATGAGTCGGGTATATGTATGTGGAAAGAATCATGCCATGCCAAACCATTAGTATGAATGTACTATTGATTATACTGTAGTGTACTCCCTCTGTAAACTAATATAAGAGCATTTAGATCACTAAAGTAGAAATCTAAATGCTCTTATATTAGTTTACAGAGGGAGTAGTATATACGCACAGCAGCCTATAAGACATGACGTGATGGTTCTGGTTTTCCATGAAATTTCAGCGAAAAATTGGCAAGTTTCAGTTATTTCAGTAGGTGCCTAAATGTTTCAGCACTTTCAGTAGGCACACATAGATAAATTTTACAATAAATCGAAAAAAGTGGGGCTGCAAATATTTCTGGAACCAAAATCTGAAACCGGCACGAGTGACCACTGTCTGCTCACAAGATTCGTTGACTAGAATATAATCACGACGCCTACTGTTGTTGGTTAAGGGAAGTCATTATGAGGAGCAGTGTCGGGCTCCCTCTCCTTCCGCATCTGACCAGCAACTTCATTCACACTGTTCAAGCTCAAACCTGACAATTTTCCGATCGACGCCATTTCTCGACTGCCTGTGATCGTCAGAACGTGTGATGTGAAAGTCAGGAAATGAGACAGTTTTCCCTTTGACTTGTGAACAGACGAACAGGGTAGGCACCAGAACGGGCTCTCCTTGCCATAATCACTCGACAATAGATTTTGGTTGTGAACTTGGAGTGCCCAGGCGCACAGCTGACCGAGAGTGTTCTGTTTCAGGGACTGGACTCACTGGAGACCACTGCTAATAAGTCGCTAGAGGCAACACCACTCTGTTTGCTTAACACGATGATAATAACCTTTACTCTGTTTGCTTAACACGACGATAATAACCTTGTCAGAACTCACATGAGATCTTCATGTGCATCTACTCCAACTTGTACGCCTGACCTCCATTGTTTCAAAGAGAGGATCTGATATATCTTTTCACGTCCTGCGCGCCTTCTGGATAGGCTAGAGTCGCCTTTTCTTTTTGAATGAAAACTTGATGAAACGATCATGGGAACCAGCCACCTCAATCGCGATTGCACTTTAAATTTTTTTTATAGAACAAAGGCCGTCAAGATAACAATTTGCCAAAGTGATCAGAGAGATTGCACTTTTATTATCACTTTGCCAAACCCTTTTGTAGCTCTTCTTTTGGACAACCGTTTGTTTCCACTTTATGTTGGTGTATAACTGGTTTACTGCTCATGCAACATTGATAATTGATCAACTGCAATTAAAATTAGGTATGGGTCTTGTTTAGGGAGTGGTGTCTGGTCATATAATATATGAATTTCAATTACCATTCGTGTTAGCATCTCACTTGCTAACCAATCAACAGAACAAGATTACAGGGTTTGAGGTAGCTAATTCGATATGCAGGGGCAGCATGAAAGGGATCGAAGAAGAGAGACGGAGGTGGGAGAGAAGAGCCTGGTGCCGGTTGCAGCCTCCTCCCTAGCTACATATGGGAGCTCCTATTCAGCGACTTATGCGTTGAATAGGAAGGAAAGCGCACCTCCCGCTTCCCCCGCACGTGTTTTTTGGCCAACCAATGTGCGGGGTGGGACGCCCCCTTTTCTTTCATTTTTTTACTCTTTAAAACAATCTGAGATTTCAAAAAGCTTCCATTTTTTAAATGCAAATTTTGAAAAAAAATGTTTGAGATATCATAAAATGTTTGTGAATTCCAAAATAGTTTGTGGATTTAAAAATGTTTGTGATTTTGAAAAAATATATATTAAAAAAAGTTCATGATTTCAAAGAAAAGTTTGGGAAATAAAAAAATTCATGATTTCGAAAATATGTTTGAATAGTCCAAAAATTTTCATAAATTTTTAAAATTGTTCAAAATGTTCACAAACTTGTTCCCAAATTTCACAAAAATTCATCAATTAAAAACTGTTCGTGAATTTTAAAAATCATGCCCAAATTTCAAAAATTGTTTGTCGATTAAAAAATGTTCATGTGTTTCAGAAAAATGTTTGAGAACTTGCAAAAAAATGTTCATGATCTCAAAAAAATGTTCATGAATTATTATAAAATGTTTGAGAATTTAATAAATGTTCATAATTTCAAAAAATGTTCGCAAATACAAAAAATGTTCATGATTTTAAAAAATCCACAACTTAAAAAATGTTCAAGAATTTGAAAGATGTTCGCAAAATGAAAAGGAAAAAATAAACAAGTATAAAAAAATAAAATGAAAAATAAAATAAGCAAAAAGCAAAAAATAAAAAGGAAAAACAAAAAATATAGACGATAGAAAAAATAGAAGAGTTAAAAAGAAAAAATGGTTCAGGGAAGGTTCTAGAACCTTCCTAATACCGGAACAGAGACTCTACCATACAAGCCTCCGTGGGTCGGCCCAATATGAAATGTAGCGAATGCAGGCGTATGCGTTTGGTAGTTTAGAAAAGGATGAATAATTACTAAACCTAAATATGGCAGTGGAAAAACATGTGAGCTGGGAATGAATCTCAGGAAAAGGGGATACATCTACGATTGGAAGAAGATGCTAGAACCGCTACCGCACAACTTCAGTACTGCTTTTGGATTGAACTAAGCATAGATGGAAAAGATATGATGAACTTGGACGAACACAGCGTCCCCCGACGAACTAGGGCAGCCTAATGCAGATTGGAAATGAGGAGAAGCGAGTACCTGGTGGTGCTTAACGGACAGCGGAGTGACGCCGCGATCTCTGGTCAAGGTCAGGTTGATGCAGCAGCTAGGCTGGAGCTGTTGGAGAAGGTCGACGGCGGCAGCAGAGCTCGTGCGGCAGTGGTCGGCGCGAGGAAGACGAAGAAGAGAGAGGGACGGGGGTAAAAGTGAAAAATGACCCCCCCTACCTATTTTTATAAGGGGAAAAAGTGAATAGTAAGGGCTCCTTTGATTCAAAGGAATTTTATATGATTTCTAGAGGATTGAAATCCTTAGGATTTTTTTCTATATTGGTCCTTTGATTCATAGGATTGAATCCCATAAGATTTTTTTCCTATGAAATCTTTTGTACTACATTTCATAGGAAATCTAACATCCACTCCAACCTCTTTTTATAATTCCTTTGTTTTTCCTGTGCCATCAAACACGCATTGCTAATCCTATAGGATTCAAGTGGGCATGGCACTTCAATCCTATACTTCTTCTATTCCTACGTTTTAAAATCCTACGAATCAAAGAGGCCCTAAAATGGCAGGCACGGAAATCGAGGAGGCGTGATCATTATCTCAACGACAGAGACACCTCGATTCTCGGGATGACCGATTAAAGCAAAGATCTGTTCTGATGTCATAGCATTTTTTCTGAGATTAATGACATGGCGTCACCTTTCGTTATGGCGGGTTAAGAAAGTTTGTTAAGTTCAACGTTGAAAGATTTAAGAGATTCGTCAGCCAAAGGATGAAGATTGATATGAACAGGTTTAAATCAATCTGGAGCCTAATGTTGGGGATATAACCCCTTAGTGTGACCCGCCCAGGAAGGGTCGGGTTACACCGTTGGCGACTTATAGCAAGGGGTCCAAGAAGGTCCAAGAAGACAAGACGTGAAGACGGCGGTTCATAAACAGGCTTATTGGAGGCCGAAGACCCGGAGCCGACTCAAGACCCAAAGGTGTGAGCCATCCGATGAGGACTTGCTCTCTAAGGCAAGGGAATTAGAGCCGGAGTCGGTTACGTTGTGTGACCCGACCTGGACTCTTGTAAACCGCCGGACCTCGACCTGTGTATATAAAGGCGAGAACCGGCGACGGGTTAACTCAAGAATCAATTGATCGATATCTAGGTCAAGCGTATTTGCTCCCTTGTAATCGAAACTTAAGCAATACAACTAGAAGCAGGACGTAGGCTATCACCTCATTGTGAGGGGTCGAACCTAGGGAAATTCTTTGTGTCCTTTGTCTTGTCCAACCCCTTCAAGCTAACCCACGTTGCGATGGCTCCACACCTAAGTCCTTTCACTAGGGCATCTGTCGTGACAAGGTCTGGTGACCGCCCTCAGGGGTTCCTTAGTGGAGTCATGGCACCTTGCATTGTGCGAGGGCTTTAGGAGAATACAGTGAGCCATTGCGGCGCTTGAGGAGCATCGTGCGTCCACACCGCTCCAATGAAGATTAGCATCCGCAAGGGTATGAACATCAGGATACATCGTTGTCTCCGCGTTTCTTTGTTATCTCTTACCCGAATCTCTTACCCGAACCCTTCACTTATGCACTTACTTTTTGATAGCCTTTGTGCTTCAAGTTATAATTTTGTTATCACATAATTGTTTATCTTGTTTAGCATAAGTTGTTGGTGCACATAGTTGAGCCTAATCTATTTAGGTTTTGTGCTTGGTAAATTAAACGCAAGTTTTATTCCGCCGATCTCTCATTGGAATGATAAGTTGGCTATGACGAACTAATAAGTTTCTCTTCTTTTCACCTTCTTTAAGCTTATTCAAGCCAAAACTCTATTTGTTTTAAAGTGCCTATCCCCCCCCCCCTCTAAGCGACGACCATGTACATTAAATTGGCACTGGCAATATCTCCCACCCTTAGTCTCGCCCTATTTACGAGCAACTTGGCAAACAACTGGGAGGCACTATGAGTTAGGCTAATGGGGCGACAATCTCCTATATGCGAGGCGCCCGGGTTCTTCAGGACAAGCACGATCAATACCTTGCCGAGCTTGGTGAAGCCCCTTCTATCTCCCACATACAACTTGAGAAGGGCAACCATGATGTCATGCTTGATAATTCCCCAAGCTCTCTGACAAAACACCTCGATGAAACCACCTGACCGAAAGTGCGATCCGGCGAAATCTCCTTGGTCACACTCCAAAGCTCTTCCTCCGTGAAAATGACATCTAGCTCATTCAGGTCCACCTCCTCGACTCGGAAGTAATGTAGGTCCAAGGTACTGTCATGAGTACCCACCATACCAAAGAGATCCTCGTAAGCGTTCAAGAACACCTCCACTATTATTTCCTGGTCAGTAATCACCTCATTACCCACCTTGATGGCCGAATAAAATTCTTAGCGCACCTCTAATTAGCAACCTCGTGAAAGAGCTTGGTATCAGCGTCCCCTTCTCCAAGCCACCTGATCTTGGATCTTTGTCGCTCAATAGTTCGTTGTAGCAAAGCCAAGCCTAACACAACCAGTTTCAGGGTTTTTCTGCAACCATGTTTCGTCCTCCGAGAGAATTCTAGATTCTTGCGTCACGTCCAGCTTCAGGATCACCAATTTGGCAATGGCCAATTGAATTTTAATATTCCCCATTTTCCTTTGTCACCATGTTTGTAAGTACTTAGCAGTGTTGTGAAGCAAGGCATCCAAGCGCTTGAAAGGATCCACAATTCGCGCGCCACACACCCAAGCCTCCTTGATCACGTCCTCAAAGCCTTCCAACTTGGACCAAAAGAGGTCAAATCCAAAACTCCTCTTAGCAAAAAACGACGCTCAGTGCTAAGTGGAGTGGCGCATGCATGGTCCGACACACATGTGGACAAGGCTTGCAGCAGACAATCCAGATATAACGAATCCTAGTCAGCAGGGACGATCTTAGTAAGAGTAGGCACCTCCCTTTCGTTGCTCGAGGTAAAACGGTGTTCATGCATATACTACCAACTCCTCTTTAATAATGGACTTTTTTTGTGTGTGTGGCATTGGTTTAATAGGGGGGTGGGGATTGGTTCTACAAAACACCCGTACATGTAGATTTACTGTTAAAGATAGTCGTACAAAGCATGGCCTAAATGAAACCCGTAAACCGAAGCAGAAGGCTGTACGCACCAAATATAGCTGGCCTCCCTGCTTATAAATAGACACACGAGCTAGTGTTTTAGAACACAATGAAAATGAGAGCCAGTCCCGACGTTCCCTCCCATCCGTATCTATCTTTAGGCCGATGAAGCAAAGCCCCTAGAAAAGCCTCCCTGCCCCGTCTGAACCTGAAACAGAAACCAAGAAGACGCGAGGCAACTGATCAGAACGCTACCTGGTAGCTACACCGATCGATCTCTAGTCGTTCATGGAGAGCAAGGCGACGCGCGTGCGTCTGGGGCTGGCGGCCCTGCTGCTGGCCGGCTGCCTGCTGATGGCGGGCCTGCAAGAGTCCCACGCGGCGGCGACGGAGGCGACGCAGCCGGAGACCACCACGGCGCGCGTGCTCAAGGTGACGGGCGCGTATATGCCGGAGGAGGCCAACCCCTACTCGCGCGGATGCCACGCCAAAAATGGCTGCCGCGGCTGATTTTTTTTTTGAGTCTAAACACACTTTATTATTCAAACAAGTCCATAAGGATACAATGAATGTCTGGTGGGTTTATAAGGCACAAATGGCGCCCAAGATCCAGACTGAAAGCGTGCTGCCGCGGCTGATGTGCACGCGCGTTTGTGCATGCATGGCACTCGTGTGTTTGTGTCTTGTTTCGGCAGGCCGTGTGTTTGTTGACCGCTCGTTTCAATTCGATTTGTTCATTCCTTACAGCGTGAGAATTAAACGTAGAACGATGTAATGGTATGGAGTACGCACACTTTCTCCTTCTCTGTAGGATGGACTCTTTATTATTTTGGCAATAGTGTTGACTTAGCGTCTCTAGCCGATTTCTTGTAAATTAACTTCGGGTGTCGCTAGATCTTCAGTCGACTCAGACTTAACTAAGTCTTAGTCAAGTGAGACAATATATACAAAAAATAAATTAAAGAAAAACTTTGCACGGGTCTTCATGTAAGATCGCATGAATATATCATCGACTAAGACTTCGTTATGTCAGAGTCGACTGAGATTTAGCAATCCCGTTTAACTTCTTCTATGCACCCTAACTTTTTAAAAATTGAAGGAGTTAAATTGTGAACTGACCTAATTGAATCCTCAGATTTAACTCTTTAAACAAACAGACCCCTATGCATTGCTCGGCAACATATCTTTGCACGGGCATTGTTCTAGTTGTGTGGCTAGGTCCACGTCAGGATTGTGCATCTGCGAGGATGTGCGATGACGACGGATGCAGGTGGTGGCAGCACATGGCAACATTGGCTAGGTGGTTTTGTTTGAGTACTGGGTCTTGAGTTTCAGGGATGAAAACTCTAATCCGTAATCGAATATATCCTTGGTATCTCCTTGGTATTAATATATACTCTCTTTATTGGAAAAGGTTATGTGTCTGTATATTGCAACACGAATTTGTGTGTGTTTATATTTCCACTTAGGAAATCCGTATTCTTTTTTACACTTGATGAAACCCATTGAGACCTTATTCGATTAAACCCTCTGAATCGAATAAGGCCTGAAAGAGATGAATTACTGGAAAAGAAAGTGGAAGCACTTCAGAGCTTCTGACCGTCGTGTACTTGGTCAACCCCCACAACTCTCTTCCAGTACCAGTGCTTCCCCCACAGGTTCCCGATCTGCTCAATGGGCATCCCCTTGGTCTCCGGCAAGAAGAGGTGCGCGAACGCCGTCATGACCAGAATCCACCCGGCGAAGAAGAAGAACAGCCACGCCTTCAAGCGGCACAGCATGGCCAGGAAGTACTGCGCGACGAGGATGGTGAACACGAAGCCCGACGCCACGGTGATGCTCTGCCCGGCGGACCGGACCTCCAGCGGGAAGATCTCGCTCGGTATCAGCCAGCTGAGCGGGCCCCAGGACCAGCCGAAGCCGGTGGAGTAGACGCCGATGAGGAAGATGAGGACGACGGCGTAGGTCCTGCTGACCTGGCCCTCGTCGCGGAGCTTCGCGGCCATGATGGCGCCGATGAGCACCTCGGAGAGGAACATCTGGACGCCGCCGAGGACGAGGAGCGTGCGTCTCCCGAAGCGGTCGACGAGGAGCATGGACGCGAAGGTAGACGCGGAGGAGACGATGACCATGACGATGGTGGAGAGCAGCGCCGCGCTCTCGCTCATGCCGATGGTGCGCAGCAGCACCGGCGCGTAGAAGCCGATGGCGTTGATCCCGGTGAGCTGCGTGAAGGACGGTATGAGGACGGCCATGGCAAGCTGCGGGCGGTACCGTCGCTGCGACAGGATGAGGCGCAGGCCGTTGTCGCCGGCCTGTCCCATTGCGTTGGCGGCGACGATGTCGTCCAGCTCTTCGTCGACGGCGTCTATGCCTCTGATCTTCTGGAGCAGCGCCTTCACCTCGCCACGGCCTTTGCCTTGCTGGACGAGGCTGTTGGGCGTCTCCGGCAGGAAGCTCGCGCCGACGATGAGCAGCACGGCGGGGACGCCGGCTAGGCCCAGCGAGAGCCTCCAGCCCCAGCCAGCCTTGATCTTCTCGGCGCCATAGTTGACGACGGTGGCGGCGAGAGCCCCGAGACAGAGGCTGAACTGGAAGCCGTTGCTGAAGGCTCCCCTGTATCGCGCCGGCGCCATCTCCGACAGGTACAGTGGCACTGCCTGCCATCAAAACCGTCAGTATATTTTTCCACGTAGATTACGATTTACGATCAAATATGTAGGAAATTTCTTCTTGTGACCTGATTGGCGAACCCAAGGCCGACGCCGAGCAGCGCCCTGCCAAGGATGGCCATGTAGACGTTGACGGCGCCCCCGCTGACCGCCGCGCCGCCTAGGTACGCGACGCCGCCGAGGATCACGGACGGCCGGCGCCCGTGCCTCTCCGTGAACCACGACGCGACGAGCACGGCCGTGAGGAGCCCCGAGACGTAGAGCGAGGAGGTGAAGAGCGTGAGGAGCTGGCTGTCGAACTTGCAGTAGTTGCCGACGCCGGCGCCGGCCTGCATCCGCCGGTGCACGTCCGGGAAGAAGTCCCTCAGGAACGGTTCCATGGACGACACCCCGCCCGCGGTGCCGATGTCGTAGCCGAAGATGGCGCCGCCCATGGCCGCCGTGATGCATGAGAGCGCCGCGAACGCGGTGACCCTCCCGCCGTACTGCCTCTGGTCCTCGCCGCCGCCAGCGAAACCCACGGCCATGGTACGTCGCGAAGCTAGAGTAGAGCTTGGTATCTGACTCGAGGCTAGCTAGCACAATATATGATTGACAACTAACTTGGCGAGGCTGCCTTCTCGGATGGGCTCTGTACTGTGCACTGTACTGGTGTTGACTGTTGACTGGAGCGATGCTCAGTTCTCATCGTCGTTCAGTCATAGCTTGATGTGCAATTTGGTTTGAAATTTCGCTCCATGCCATGCCGGATTTGTTTGTTTGTGCGCCGCAGCCACATAACCGTCACTTTTTCCACGCGATGCTTTGACTTAATTGGCAGTGTACCTATCATCCATTAGCACGTGTGGGTGTAACTTGTTTTTTTAGAAAACGTCGGCACTTTACTAATCAAGCAACATAATTACAAAGAGTCTCTCGGATATATTCCGGAATAGAAGTGAAAACACAAAAACCATTACAGCTCAAACACGATTTATCTAAATTATGAGTTAAAACATTAGACTGCCGACGAATAAACTTGACCCGAGAAAAAAGAATATTCGACATGCCATCTTTTATCTCCGAGACCACAGCATCAATGAGTGAACGATCGCGAACATGGAAATTGATTCTCTGCACCAAAGAGAGGCAGTCGGAGGCGATATCACCAAATCACATCCCATCTCACGTGCAAGGTTAACTGTGTGGGTGTAACTTGTTGGGCCCTCCTTGGATAAAATGTTTTTTCTTTTGGAAAAATGGAGGACTGCAGTCCTGTAGAAAAAGAAAAGGTTGGAAGGAATTGCACAAATACACAACCACTAGGGCAACTCCAACACGGATCATCAAATCACCCCTAAATGTCTAAAGCGTACAAATCAATCCAAGGTCGTATGCACCTTTTGTATTCAAAACAATGGGTTGTGGAAAAAGTGCTCCAGAACCTCCGGATGCAACAAAAAGTTTGTACAGTTGCGCCCAAAAAATGGATTTGTGGTATTGTTTAGTGTTTTCTTCGCACAAATTCATCCCCAAAACAATATCAGATTGAAAAGTGTTGAGCATAGAAATCGATCAGCTCGTCAAGAAGGACAAGTCTGTTGTTGGTGTCATCGCGATCCAAAGTCATATGCAACATCCACGATAGATAAAAGAGGGCTCTTATTTACCTATATATTATAGCATGAAGCCTCACGTACCCGGTATGGGGCCTTCAGGCCTACTTAGCCGAATTAGGTTAGAAATTTATCTTTTGAACGAGATTTGAGTCCTTTCTTGTATGATAAGTCCAGCCATCTCATATAAAGACTAGAAGAACACCCGTGCGTTGCAACGGGGCCACATTAAATTTAAGAGTTCAATATCAATTATGTTAATATTACATTTAATATTCTCATACATATCAAGTGACATTGGCGACCTTTTTACCATCAAATTCTCACACACACTCTCTCCCTCCCTCCTTCTCACTCTCTCTCCCCCTCTCCCTCTCTCTCTCTCTCTAACACACACACATATCCATCTTATTGGGTACGGGACCATAATCCATCTATTTCACACGCACACGCGCTAGTGCATAACAATATAGATTATAAAACAGGTTCAAGGTAGTAACAAGGATTCTTCTCATGCATTAATAAACAAATGTTCTGCACTGAAGACAAGATAAACAATTCCCAAAGTGCATCAGAGCATCACAGAACATTACTGGCAAGATAAATGCACGATGTACCGGAACTGCTCGGATGAACCGGAACAGAGCCAACATATATCATCCTAGACAAACGCAACATCAATCATTTACCTTGGTACTTTAGGGACCGACAGGAGGATGCATGTAGAAGCGCTTATTGCCTGCGAATCCACAGTCAGAGAGAGAAATTGGAACCCATTCCCATCACCAACTGATAAAGAAAGCATGTACGAAAATTGATATCGGGCCAACTTGGATCTTCGGTGATTGTCCGCCGGTATGGAGAATTTAGGAGGGTGGGTGCAGGGAGTGGCCTTGTGGATGATGGATGGAGGCGCGGAGGGATGTGGTCGCCGGAAGGTCGAAAGCGTAGAGGGTCGGGCACGTTAGGTGGAGCCGGTGGTGCGCGACAACCGGAGGCGGCCCAATCATGGGCGGCGAACCGACGATAGCCTCGGCCCATCTCTCGACCCAGCGAAGATAGAGAGGGCAGCACTGCCGATGCTCGAGGCCGCCGCTCGGCACCATCTATATCGAGGGGAAAGAGAGGCGAGAAAGCGATAGGGTGATGCGGGGCTAGGGATTGCGAAGGAGGGTGGGGGTGTGCGATTTGAATGGATGGTTCTGCCCACCGTTTTCTTGTACGTGGCGGTGGAGACGGCGGCGTCCAGCCATGCAGGCGAGACATGGGTTGAGCCGGGCACACGGCGAGGCGCAGTAGCAGAGGCGGGAGCGATTTTTTGCTACTGAGATGCATGGTGTGGGATTGATCGTTCATGTTCTCTTTTGCTTTTTAACGGGAGATGGATGCAATTTTTTCACGAGGGGAGAGATGCAACCACGTACATATTCTATAATAAATTAATTAGGTCCATAACGGGAATTCTTTACAATGCGTTAAGATTTACGTGTTAGTTTTCTTAATAAAGAAATGCACTGATGTAGAGATTGATTGATTCGGGTAAGGAAAGATAGATTCGTGATCTTTTGTATGTTAGGAAATTAGTGGTTTGCAAGGAAAGAGTGGAGAGAAAAAGAACCAATGCGACCACGTATAGATTCCATAATAAATTAATTAGGTCCATAACGGGATTTGTTTACAATGCGTTAAGATTTACGTGTTAGTTTTCTTAATAAAAAAATGCACTGATGTAGGGCGCGATTGGTTCGGATAAGGAAAGATAGATTCGTGATCTTTTGTATATTAGGAAATTATTGGTTTGCAAGGAAAGAGTGGAGAGAAAAAGAACCAGTGGAGGTGAGAGGAGGACAAAAATAAACCGTACGAGGCTACCAACTGCTCCATTAGGAGTAGAGATTGTTTGTGAAAATAACGTGCGACGACGACTTAGCGAGCGGATCCCCTTAAAAAAGACATAGCTAGCAGATTCCCTTAAAACTGGTAGGAAAGGATACGATCGATGACGTTGATAAATAGTGGTGAATGTTGGACTAATTTACTATCATCATGCATGGAAACGAATCATCAAGAAAAAGAATACTTCCTATTACTACACTCATAGGAAGCTTCCTAATCTCTGCTACCAAACAGTTTCTGCCCAAACAAGGAAGGAAAGTTATGGACGTGATTCGAAAGGAAACAAACATTATGAAGATTAATTAATTTAGATTTGATCTTTAGAGATTGATTGTGATTGATTCTTTTACATAAAGACATTACTAAATAATTTGCGTTAGTAGGAAAGTTCTGATCTGTTCAATTTTTTTCGTTGTGTGAGAGGGTGAAGTGAAAATAAATCGATGAAGTGGGGGAGGCGACGAAAAAAATCTACAACGGTTAACCTACGAAAAAAAACCGGACGAAAGTGGTGGGACGAAAAAAAACCTGGAAGCGAGACTACCAACTGCTTCATTAAGAGTAGAGATGAGAGGTGACAACTGATTAAAATAACACACAATCACAAACGCATATACTACTTTTACCCTCCTTTTTACATCTCTCGCTTGAGGAAAAGGGTTTCCTCCCGCTTTATATTAGAGCAACTCCAAAGGGCCAACCCATTTCGTCTGCATGCGTCCGTTTGGGTCGGCGCGGACAAAAATGGCGGTCCAACGCGCCGACCCAAACCCAAATCACGTCCGCGTCGCGTCCGCGCCGACGCATTTGCGGCCTAAATTTGCGTCCCAAATGCGTCGGCGCGGACGCCGAACGGACGCTTCACGCGCCTTCTCGCTGTCCGCCGCGTCCCCACATGGCGGCCGCCCAACTACCCACTGCCCATGCGGTCAGCTTAATTTATGACCACGGGCCCACGCGTCAGCGACGGCGCTCGTCCTTTTTTAAGCCGACCGTGCGGCGGGGCCGTCCTCATCCAAACTCGCCGTCCACATCTGCCAAACTTTGCTCCCTCGTCGCCGGCAAACCCTAGTCACCACAACCACAACGAGATGGGCCTCTTCTCCGGCGCCAGCGACAGCAAGGCCAAGGGCAAGGCCCACGCCACCCCTTTCCCCTCAGAGTTCCTCCCGCCTCCGTCGGCGCCGGCGCCTCGCCGGCAGAGGCAGCGCGTGAACGTGCCAGTGCACCAGGCGGAGTGGCACTGGCAGCACCGCCAGCCTCTGTTGTATCTCAACGTGATGTTGCCGTACAACTGGCATCTGGATCCAGATAGGATCCCAGTGCCGGAGGCGCCGCGGACGGCTCAGGCTCACGTGGAGGAGGTGCGGCGCCGGCGGGCACTGCTAACGCCGGAGCAGCGCCGCGAGGCCGCCTACGCATCCAACTCGCCCAACTGGGTGAGGTGGTTCGCCTTCAAGCACGAGGAGGCGAGGCGACGGGGCGTGCACGAGGTCGACCGGAGCTCGCCGCCACCGGCGCTCGTCGTCAGCGAGGAGGACCAGACGGCGGAGGACGCCTACCAGGGGGCCCTTGCGGCCGTCTACCGGAAGAGCGAGGAGGACGAGCGGCGCATGGCGGAGGCGGCGGAGGCAGAAGAGGAGGCTCGGTACGAGGCGGCAATGGCGCACACACTTGCCCTCTCTGCGGCGGGCGACAGCGTGGTGCCGCCGATGGCCCCGCCGTCCCCTATCAAGCCGGAGCCGGAGCCGTCCCCCATCGAGCGCTACTCCTGGAGGAGAGTAGTGCGCGAGTGGGTACGCGCGCCGCCGGTCTGGATGGGAGCGACGCCGGCGATGGAGGTGGCGTACCTCGAGCACTGGCGCCAGATCAGGGTGGCCGAGGAGCGCCGCGACGGCGAGTACCTCGAGATGCTCGAGCGTGACCTCGAGGAGGAGCAG